TAAGAATGGGTTAAGCGGTGAATGAGGGAAAAGTATATGTCAGCTACTGATAGAAATGTGCGTAATTCGGACACCGAGCTAGTGGCTGGCGTCTATACTTTCGAATCTGTCAAGGATTTCATCTACCTTGGCACCGCCATAACGAACACAAATGATGTCAGTCTGGAGATCACCATTGCTAATAAGTGCTACTATGGGCTCAGTAGGCAATTGGGATGTAGAGCTCTCTCTCGACAAACGAAACTTACACTCTATAGCTTGCTCATCCTCCCTGTGCTTCTGTATGGCGCAGAAGCATGGACGTTATCACAGAATGATGAAGCAGCACTGGGAGTGTTCGAGAGAAAAGTTCTTCGTAAGATCTTTGGTCCTCTACGAGTTGGCGACGACTATCGCATTAGAATAAACCACAAGCTGTACGAGCTTTATCACGACATTGATATAATTCAGCGGATTAACATGTCGTGAGAATGGATAAAGATGTTTCGGCAAAAAAGGTGTTTGAAGCAGTAGTTGGCGGAAGAAGACGTAGATGTAGACCGTGTCTCCGGCGGAGTGATCAAGTTGAGGGAGCACTAACTAGACTTGATATACGAGACTGGAGAAGGCGCGCACGCAGCAGAGGCGCCTGGGGAGACATGCTGCGTCAGGCCGAAACTCGGTAACGGGTTGTTTTGGACAAATAAGTAAGTAAGTAATAATAAAAAAAATTGGTTTTACAAATATTGTCCATCCAAGAGAGGTGTCCGCTTAACAGAGGTGTCCGCTAGGAAAGTTTTCATTGCATTATTAATTGCTTATTAAACAAACCTACTTTAACCTTTTTGTTTTGTAATAATAACAAAGATCAATAAAGTATATTATGCACTGTTAAATTAATATTAATTGATTTATTTAATTCTGTAAAATAAGTTTCTTATAAATTGCTTATAAAGTAAACCTACTTTGTAATAATAATAATGATCAATAAAATATATTATGATGAATTAAATATTTGTATATCTTCAGATTTAAATTATTTTGTAATTAAAAACTAATAAAGAGTTCAATTCTACTCAAGCTATCAAACAAGATCTATATTTTTTTGGGTTCAGCGACGCCGAGGTTTATAACTTACATTTGCTGTATAACTTATTACTAAACAGTTCTTCACTTTTAACAAGAAATAATAATTTGTAATACTTTTATACTTTTTGTAATACTTTTATTAACGCGACTATACATATATTCTGTTGCTGTGAAATTCTTAAAAACTAATTCAACAGACAACTCTTTCTCCAGAACTTAGATTTTGTCTCCAATTTAATATTATCTATACAGCAGACTCCTGAGAAAGGAAGTGCTCAATATGACATATTGCACTAAATTCGACCAATGATTGACTCCTTGTGGATTATAATTATATATCAATTTCCATTAAAAGTGTTAAATATGACTTAAACCTATTTCAATTTCACATAAATTTGAATTTCATAATTCCCTTTTTTACATGGGGATTTGATTAGTATTAGTATACGTTTGATATTTCCATAATAAACGCCTGTATACTTTATACACGAGTGTATAAAAGTAAAACCTTGAATTCCATCAAACGGATTAGGTTTCAGTGAGAAAAAGCCATTCTTATATGCTCTATAAACCAAGTTAAGTCCACTGCAAAAGGAAAATCAAGTTATGAGCGTTCAGTATGTTCAATAGAGCAAAGGAAGCACAATTTTTTCTGCTAATGTTTGATTGGATAAAATACACCATTTTCCAATTTGAAGTGAAACTTAATCGAAGTGTAAAAGTCCAATTAGTAAGTGAAAGACATTTATAGAATGAACTCTTAAAATACAATAGTGAACCACGTTATGTCTCAATAGAGTTCCTAACCATTTAAGGAGAGTTTAAACTATTTAAAAATAAATAAGCAATCCACACAAAAATAATTATTTTATTATATATACAAAGTATATACATACATATAAGTACAGTTGTTGCATTCCTAATAAATGGTGATGCATAGAAGAATCTTAATCTAAAATTCGTGAAAAAGACTAGACAAAATATTTTTATTCGTAATTTTCATATTTTATGGCTTTTATGGATAAGATAATATAAGTCTTAAAATACAGTTATAGTATAAAATAAAAAATTATAATTTTACAAAGTAATATCGACACTTTTTACTAGCATTAAAACAAATAGAATCAATGACCCAAGAACATCATTTTAAACCTTCATATAATATAACTTATAACTTTATTGTAAGAAAAGAAATAAAAAATCAAATCAAAAAATAAATTTAAAGAAATTAAGTATGATCTTAAGCTGTGCTGATCTATTTTAGATTCGGATTACTAAACTAAACAAATAATAATTCAAAAAAAAATTATTTAAAAAATTTTTTAAAATAAATCAAAAAATTAAAATAAAAACGAAAAAAAAACGAAAGGAAGAAAAAGAAACTTTAATTTTTTTAATTATCTAAATTATGTAGCATATAAAAGTGGCATCAAAACACATAGAATTAATTCATGGTTCTACATATTTTTTGATTGAATTTATTTAAAATTTAAATTTATACAGCTGATTATTTTTATTTTTACAAAAATTATTCATTTAATTGTAATTGTTAAATATTTTAATATAATATGCGTATGTAATATTTATCAGAATTTTTATAAATAAGTTCCTATAAAAATTGTTTTTAAATTGTATTTAATATTAAATTATTATGTTTTCAATATAATATGTATTTTATTTGTCAAACTAATAATAAAATTTTCAGACATCCCTGAAAATGTTGGAGAATAGCAACGTAAGTTGGCTAAAAGTATAGAATAAAATTTAACTTCTATTTGTCTCTATCTACTTTCTGTTTCTGAAAACCAGAGAACAGCCTAAAACCATACTTAACTAATATGAGATATATTTATCTGACCAAAGCACATACAGTAAGATTTAAGTCAATTATATGTAGCAAAATTTCAGTTACAATTAGAAATAGAAACAAAGTCAACTACCGACAACAACTATTAGCTATATATGATTCCAAGAATGATCGAAACTACATTCTAAAGTTGCTCTACCTTTCAGACGATCAAATATCGCTTGCCACACCCAGCAGTATGGCAATAGAACAAGTAGATTTATTAGGGTCACAACGTAAGCTATACATAATAATACAATATATTCATTTAGAGTATGTTTTTCACAAACCACACCTACATTGATATTTTCCAAGAGGAAAGAAGACGAGCTGTTCTGATTCAATTTAAGTGAAATAATACGTAACTCGTGTTAAACAGTTAGATTACTTGCATAAACCCGTCCACTTCTAGTAATTATCCTAACTGCAATTGAGTTGTGACTCCAACTCATTAAGTTAGCGTAAGTCCTGAATCTGGAACCAGGTTAGTTTTTAATTAACATCCTAAACCAACATATGACTTTCATTTCACTTATCTACTTGGTATCTATCTCTTTTCCACTTTATGTTTTGTAACCCTTTTGTAATTTTCCAAACGAAATTGGAACTAAAGAAGATACAAATAACAAGAAAACGTTCAAAATAATTTGCAAGAAAAACCAAAATACTGATTTTATGTAAATATGTTATACATAGACTGAATATAAAATATGAACGATAACTATATTATTATTTATATTGCATGACATAATTTTTTTAAAAAGTTAATTAAAATATATACTTAATTAAGCTACTATGGGGAAGTACAATAAATTAAATTAGTGTAGAACATGAGTATGTTGAACATTACAAAAATAAGGATATAGGATCGCTTATGTATCAAATATCTTTCATCTTTCATCCAGAGTCAACATCTTTCACTAACCCTGGATGTAATATAATACGACTGCTCTACGAGCTACTCATAGTAAAACTCAAGTAAAACACAAGTAAAGTAACAACTGAGAGCGTTACAAATTTTCATGGAACAGCTTTGTGTAAAATCTGGTGAGAAGACCAGTGCCGCGCAAATAAACAATACAAAAATTTAAATTCAAACCAAAACAGCTGATTCACACATCAACACAAAATTTTATTTGAAATGAAATGTACCAGTAAAGTCTTTGTAGCATTTTTTAACTCACGACAGGGATGTTACGCACTCTCAGATGCTCTCATTTACTCGAAACTTTGCTGGTGGAACGCACCTCTGTATACAGAGTATTAGTCAAAGTTACTACGAGAAAGAATCATTGTGGCATCAAACTAAACAAAATCGTATAGTCTAATCTAGTCATCCGTTGAATACTGAACCGCAACAAGCCGGCGATACCAATTTTAATTCATTTTTTTTAGAACACTGTACTCATAGTTTGAAGCGAAGATTATAAATACAATCTATGGTAATATACAATATAAAAGAAGAAAATTACTGTCAATACTAATTTCAGGATCTCCGATGTTTTCCTTTATTGTCACACTAAATTAAAAGATTATACACACCTAATCTCTAACATAAGAGTAGAAAAATTGTAATGAAATAGGAATATGTCGTATATTAGCTGTAGGGGGAACTTATTTAACAGTATATCTCAATATCGGAATATATACCAAAGATTCATGTGATCATTCAACTTCTTTTCGGTAAGAATTAAATATAATTTACACAAACCATTGCTTAATATTTTTTTAATTTAGCGTGGTTAATTCCACGTCCTGGAACTCACCAATGCTATTAAAGACTCACCGCTCATTAGTTAATTAAACAAATTGTGCCAAGGGTACTCGAACGGAAGCAGTTACAACGACAATGTTTCGAAAAACATCACCAATATGGTCACCTATTATTTTTATTGCAAAATGGATTTAAACCGATTAATATCGATTAATTTTGATTGTATAGTGATGTGAGCAACATGTTAATTTGTAACTTAATTTGGAAACTTAAACTGTATTTAAATCACATGACAAAAAACTGAAAAAAATTTATAACAATTAATTAAAATTTAAAGTTTTTTTTAAATGATTTAAAATTTTGTGAGGCGACTGTAACTGTGGAAACTTATTTGTTATTATTATAAACAACAACAATAATGTAATATAAAAAATTTCACTGATGTTTAGGAAGATGCAATTCTCTATTACATATCAGCAAAATTAGAGACATTCATATTATTGCATGTCACACAGTACACAGTACATCATCTATGCACTACTGCCTTTGTGGTGAAATATGTGCGAAGAATATTTCAATATTCAATTCTAAGCCTAACAAACTGTTATACCCAGGAACATGTACAACATCTTGTTTATATATATTAACAATACTATAGCTAATACTCATTTGTAAATTTACAGAGCAACATTAAATGTCATATTGGAACTTACTCACTTGACAAGTTCAACACATCATCATTGGTTTTCGGCATTTTCGCTGGAGGTGGTGCTGCTAAATCAGCGATGGACGAATATTCCATTCGTTTTTTTGTAGCTCCACCCAATGATGGTGGCACGAGCTCACCATATAAACGACTTAAGTCAACTGGTGGAGTATTAGTTGGACGTCTATGTGAAGAGCTGCTACTGCCGTCGGACGGTGCAGGTGATGGCGTATTGGATGGTACACTTGAAATAGCTAAATCAACTGCACTAAAATTATATTTCGAAGCAGCATTACTTGAATTGGCTGCACTGCTCTTTGTAGGTGTGAGACGTTCTAGAGCTGGTGAAGCTGATGATTCTCTTGTACGTCCCAAATTTGAACCAGACGTTGTTGTTGATTTTGGTGGTTTCATCATCATCGCTGATATTGATTCTTGCTGTATTTTTAATAAAGCTGAGGGAGACATAAATAAATTGTTGGCCGCTAGTGTTGATTTCGACAATGGATCGGGTATGCCGAACTTTCCATGTTGTTGCTGAAACAGTGCTGCATAGTCTTGCATTTTTTCCTGTGTTAGTGCGTTATAGTAAGCAGCTGGATCGGTTAGTGGTGAAGGTGCACCCGTTGAATTGGATGCTGAACCACCAGATTTAGTTGATGTCGATGTATTTGAAGCTGTGGCAGATGGTGTAGCAAAAAGTGCATTCAGATCGGCAGCTGCTTTGTTTTGATGATAGAGTAAAGCATTTAAGTCTGCGTGTTGCTTTTCAGATTGCAATAATTGATTAAGCATATCCGTTTGTTGTTGTTGCACTTGTGCTTGTACATCTTTTTGCTTTTGTTTTGAACTTGAATTAGATGAACTACTAGTAGGGACTGCACCAACTCCACCTACACCAGCTGCCAATAATGCTGTCAGTTCATGATGCGCACTAGAAGCATTCTTGCCTGGTGTCATTGCTGCTGCAAATTGATTAGTTGGATCGAACAATTTAGAATAGGTTTGTAATAGTGCAGTGTAATCTGGATGTTGTTGTTGTTGTTGTTGTTGTTGTTGTTGTTGCTGTTGCTGCTGTTGCTGTTGTTGCTGCTGTTGTTGTTGTTGCTGCTGCTGTTGTTGTTGTTGCTGTTGCTTTTTTGAACTGCTAGGTGAAGCTGGTAACGGTACATTAGCTGCTGCAGCAGCTGCAGCGGCAGCAGCCGCACCCATTTGCTGCTGTAAAAATGCGTTAAGATCATTATTTTTCGCCTGCGCAATATACGAATCATAGCCGAGCAATTTCGATGCTTGTATTAAATTGTTATAATCAGCTGTAAGAGCTGCAGCTGATGCAGCAGCAGCTGCAGCTGAGGATTTCGATTTATTATTAGAACTAGATGAGCTCGGTGCACTATTACCTGGTAAACCTAAGCCAGCACCAGTAAGATATGAGAAATCTGCACCAAAACCTAATGTTCCTAAAGTTGTTGCACCAAGCGCTTCTGCTTGTTGCAATAAAAGTGCAGCATATTCTGGAGACCGCATAAGTTCACTCATTTTTAGTGGATCATTTTTAAGATCATCTAATTCTTTCATCAATTTTGTTTTGTAGGAATTTGAAGAGCTGCTAGATGATGATGAAGATGAAGATGACGATTTAGAGGAACGTTCGGACTTTTTACTTGATGATGAAGTAGGTTGTACTTGTGGTAACGTATCTTGTACACGAGGCATATTAAAGCTATTTGAATATGCTGCTACTGCTGCAGCTACATTTGGATCTGTAAGTTCATTATTACTAGGTTGAGAATTAGTTGATTGTGCTTGCTTCTGATTGCCTCCAACTTTAGCAGCAGCTGCAGCTAACTGGTTAAGTGAAGAGTTACCAAAATCTTTACGTTGTTGTTGTTGAAATAATGCTGCAATATCTGTTGGTAGAAAATTCGATGATATTTGTCCAGTTAGCTGTGCTAAACTCGCAGCCATTAAATCGTTTGTCGAGGGTAGACAGGTCGAAGAAGGTGGCACTAATGACACAGGCGGTTCATATTTATTCGGGGTAATACTAGGACTATTACGTGCTATGTCACTAATACTAAACTTGCCTGGACTAGGTGCTGGTGAGTTGCGGGTACGCGAAGTATGTGAGGACGCATCTGATTTAGCTGGAGATGGTGACGCACGTACTGGAACTTCAAACTTAGCAGGACTAGCCGAATTTGAAGGTATAGTTATAGGACTATCACGTGGTGACGCTGCCGATATTGCAGCTGCAGCTACTGGATTTGATAAATGATTGGATTGTACTGTACCTGTATTATGTGGTAATGTAGGTGGTAAAGGTGGTAAAAGCCCAGTAGTAGGAGCTTGTGGCACAACTACTGGAGGAACGATGGCCGGTAATGTAGGAGCATTAGGTGGACCTGTTGGATTAGGTGTTGCTAACGGTGACAGCATGCGCACCGGATTCATATTTAAACCAGATGGTAGACATAATTGCTCCTGTAAGGACAAAACTTTTAGTTCGCTAGCTTTTTGTTCAGCTTGAGTTTCTTCGGCTGTTTTACGTGTGACCTCCTCAGTCACCTGTGATATTTTTTGCAACTGTATATCTTTCAACTCACTAGTTTTTGTAGTATCATTGGAAATAGGTTGCAAAATTTCAGGTTTAACATCATCTTTATTATCCATTATTTTTATTGTTTTAGGAGGTATAAAATCGTCCTCCTGATCGCAGCCTAAAACTGCACAGATCCAATTCCAGAGTGCCTTATCACTTTGTTTAAGTGGAAACTTTGGATATAACGTATTTTTTAATTTTTCTATAAATGTTATATCTTCCTTAAAAATTGTGCTGAATTTAACAACTTCATTGCGAAACTGAGAGTAATAATCAACACACGTCTGTATTTCTGTTCGCACTGCCTCTGGTATTTCTTTATCAGCTAGAACGGAATATTGCATTAACATTGGACGTCCATATTCCATTGATTGTTTATTCTCATTGGGTGGTACAATCCAAATTGATTTAACAACTGATTCAAGAGTTGGATTTTCATCATAATAAGGAGCTGAAATTTATTTGATATAATATATTTCTTTTATGTATTTTCAAAAAGTCTATTTATATTTATAGATTCTTACATATGATCAAAGCTACACATGGTGAGTATGTTATATCTGTTGGACCACGCATGCGTATTTGATAGTCAAGTTGTGCATCGCAATCACGTAAGGTTGGTTCAGCTTGAAATTTGGGATGAGAATGATACCAACCGACAAGTATTAACTGATCACGCGTTAAAGCTTTTTGTATGTCACGCTCAACAGCAAATGATTTTTTGCGATCAAACCGCGTGTTTCGACATGGATAGGCCCTACTTATTGACAATGCTACAGAACATGAAATAAAACAACAAAAAAAAATTTCTTTTGACTACTGCGTGCCTAAGCAAGCAAATTAAAAACTTACTATGTGTGTTAATATCCCAAGTCCCACCAAGATAGCCGCAAACTTCGTGCATTGTTAAGTGACTATGAAAGTCGGCCAATAACAAAGCCGAAGAACTCATTGTCAATAAGAATGGTTGAAGTTTATTAACTGTGGTAAAAGGTATAGCTTCAATCAGCATATTAGCGTCACTAAAATGGTTGGCGTTTATTAATATATAATAACGAAATTAATTTTAAATTTGTGTATAATACAAACTTACTGCGTGGTGTTGCGATTTGTCATGGTGTTGTGTTGGAATACTGTGCGTTTCACGACAGGCAATGTCGATTCTGACTTCTTATCAATATCTGTAAGTTCGGAAATAAATGGAGCACATATATTTATGATTCTTAAAACTCTTATTTTTTGTTTAAATACTATGTAATATTTTCTAAACTTCACACAAAATTCAATAATTCCGCTATAATAAAACATACGCACAATTTCAGACGCGCGCAACTTATGAAGCCATAACGGAACTTCAATGCCATTTTATATATCAGCATTACCAACTTTAATATACCACACTTCCCCTTTTTCCATTTTTTTCGCCATTCCTTTGGTAGTCAAATACTTACTTGCCAGATTTACCAATAAGGAGCAAATCAGAATGACATATTACATGGATTATGACATTATATGCATAGTGATGCCAATTCGTTTCTTATCCCCCTTCGGACTGGCGAAGAGGAAGTAGCCTCAATCCGTTCTAATACGCTCTACTAAAATTTAATTCGAAGTAATTATTACAATTGCAAGTCACATAATGTTAAGCAGCTAACTTTATATTAAAATTATTAATATATAGATATTAATTATATATAATTTAAAGTTCTTATTGTGATCACAAAAGCAAGAAAGAATAGCTTAAAAAATAAAATTTAAAAGCAAAAAAGAATTGTAAGCTAACATATTAAATTCGTAGAAAATTCTTGAATTATTTTGTCACTTTAACGTTTTAAATATTAGTATTATTAATAATTCTTAAAATTTAGTTAAATAAACAATTCAATTCTTGAAAATAAAAAATTAGACGTTTATACTATTAATTAAAGTGATTGCTGCTATATAAGAAATGTATGAAAGCTGCACTGCTTCAATCTATTTAAAAAAAATGTCATTAAATTCAAAAGTCTTATCCACAATGTTGTTGTAGCACGCTGGAACCTACTTGTGCAGTTGTGTGTTCATTTAGCTTACTATATTTATATCAACAAATCAAGTTAATTATAAGGAAATTACGAAACTGTATTATATACATTATTAATACTATCAACTTACCATTTTCACAGTCATCTGGTGTTGAATCTTTTTGTAGAGCACATTTGCGTAACCAAGAATTTTTGTATGCATCCAATTTCTTTCCCTTATATTTAACAGAAGCCCAACCGCATCCACTTTTCTTCTCTGGGTTAATTATGCGTTTGCAATGCATTGCCCAAGCGCTTGGAGTTAAAAATATTGTTTCCGTTTCTTGCGATTTGATTTTGCCATCAGGCAGTAAATCTCCTACGAATTTCTGCCCAAGATATTCGATTGTCATAAGTGATTTTCCAGGTTGCAACACATTTGCACTCATTAACATTTGTAGTGTTACAGTGCGTCCAGTTCCATTAAAACCTTCGTAATTTTCTTTTGTCTGTCGTTCGTATTTTATAACAAAAAAACAATTTCTTCACATCAAACTTGTTACAAATATATAATACAACAACTACCAACCTCATCATCTTCATCACTTTCCGCATCTCTTTCGCCATCCTCTAGATTGCTTATAACAGCTGGCGCACTGGCAGAAATTGGTGGTCTATCATTAGACACAGCGCCAGTATTGTTAGTGTTCGCACGTTCTCCTGAAAATATTGTGTCGGCGCCTGATATTGCCGCTATTGTTGCTGGGGCTGGCATTTCTGCTCTGTTTTGCCCTAAAGGCTTTTTTATATGTTTATCATTCTCAAGTTTTTGCATTGCACTTATGTTATTAATTGTATTTGATTGTTTTAAAATTTTATTTCAATTTTTTGTTAAGAAACTATACCCGACTTAAATTGTGTATATGCTTCCGAAACTTTGTTATTTTCTTTTGTACCTTTTTCTGCATTTAAGGCACTGCCAGAAAAAACTTTGAGCTACAAACCTACTTCACCATAATTTTTGCAATAATTTTTGGTGATGCCATAGGTAAAAAAATAGTAATGGAAAAATAAGTGGTGAAATATTTTTAAATAGGTATACCTACTATCCAAATTCAAACGTCCTCAGTAATATAACAAAACAAAAGATGATGCTAAATATTCTGGAGTGCCGTACAAAATTTAAATTTAATCGTAATTTGATATATTACGAAAAAAAATAAATAAGCGCATATTGAAAGAAATAAAAAATTTAGCAAAAATTATATTTTACCTTCATTTTAAATATTCAAATTCCATTTTGTCGTGCTATTTTTTACTCCTATATACAACATATCAAACAAAACCAGCATAAAAACAACAATTTACATATGTAATAATTTTTAAAAAAAATTTTTTAGCTTAATCCCATTTCTAAATATTAGTATTAAAGACATATCCTGATGTGAAGCCCAAATGCCGAAAATCTATTCTGGTCGAGTAATAATGACAGAAAATAAAAAAAAATTGAATGAAGCAAAATTTGAAGTTTGAGTGAGTTAATTACGTATAAGTTAATTTGTGATTAAGTATTTTAGTATTTTTATTAAGTATCACTATTGCAATCTGTTCAGTGTTATATTTTGGCAATTAGCAAAACTTGCATACGTGCACATAATGCAAGGAAACAACATTTTGTATAAAAATAAATAATTAATTTAAATTAAAAATTAAAATGAATACAGAATTAAAAGGAATGGTAAAAATGTTGGAAATATCAAAATAAAATACTAAAATTTTTTCTTTTTTTCCAATTTCTAAATTTATAAAATGTTCGAATTTTTGTTTACATATGATTTTTAACATATGATTGCAATATTCGTTGGAATTTCCAATGAAGGTTTACAATAGTTCGCTTATTGCGTTGGTAACACTTACTTTTTATATGATTTTTGACATATGATTGCAATATTCGTTGGAGTTTCCAATGAAGATTCACATTAGCTCCTATTGTAAAACGGAATTACCGGTAATGTTTTCCAAATAGAAGGTATCGAGATGTGAAAACTTGTATTATTATATAACTCGGTTAAAAATTGTTTTTATGTTTTTAGTGTAATTAAAATCAATACTTTTAACATGTTAACAGGACTAGTTAAAAAAGATTTAATTTGAAGATTAATAGCTAAAAATTTATAAACCGATGGAATTATCATATCCACAAAGAAAGATAAATGTAGAGTTCAGTTTAACATACCTGGTGGAATTACTTATAACAATTTCACACGATAAATTATATTAAATAGAATTTGCGGTACATGTGGAGGTTCCGTATTAAAATCATTGAAACTCATTGAAATTGTGGTAGTTTTAAGTGTTCAACAAATTTTCCACTAGTTTTACCTAAAGAATTTATAGTCAACATAAAATTGTATCAAGCTTAATTTATTTAATTAAATATTTACACATGAAAAACGAAAAGAAATGTCATATACTATTCGCCACTTAAGAGACTGACTATTTTATATATAAAAACATTTAAAATTAAAAAGTTATCAATGTATATTAACATTAGTGTTTCCTTTTAAAATTTTTGGTTTTTTAACTAAATTTTTAGTTTGCACAAATATTATTTATGATACAGACACCCTGTTTTTTAGTAAAACGAACCAGCTACCATGTACGACAGACACGCACAAATCAAAAGTCGAATTATCAAAATAAGTTTAATATTATATTACACTAATAAATTAAAAATTTTATTTTATATTTTAATCACCATTTTTATATTTCAATGAATTCACTAATAAACACTAATAAATCACATCACAACAAATACATTCCACTTCTTCCAGTTTTGATTCATCAATTTTTTGAAGAATATTAGTAATAAAATTTTCATTTCATTTTTATGTTTAATATAAGTACATTGAAAAAATATAGCATATATATATATTTTAAATATATTAAAATAAATATATATGTACACACAAATACTTAATTTTTGCTAGTTATGGAACTAATTGTTACGTCAAATTAATGTACAAACAATTGTGAATGAATTCACTGTAAAAGTTTTATTTAACACATCATATTTAATAAAGCATATGCATGTTTATTTATTTTAAATTTACTCTTAAACTAAATATTTTAATTTTTGCCATTTGTTTTATTTAAAAGAATTTTTGCAAATACTGTTGCCACCAATTTTAAATCAAACATTTTGATTATATATTGGTTTCATTCTAACACATTGATAACAAAGCTTCATGTTAATTCAATAGAATTTGAATATTTTTTTTAAACAAAGCAACACGATATTTTAGAAAATTTTGATATATAAAAAGAATTATATTCTTGAAGAAATAAAAAATAGTTTATTATTATATTTCGGCCACCTTTCCTAATTTATATCTAAATTATTGCTACTTCCATACACCTTAAACTGCTGTAAAAAATCCAAACCGCGATAGTTTATACCACTAAAAAGCAAAATGTTTCCGTTATTCATTGTAGTGGCATATTTCTTTTTCTCACTGATGGCAATGATCGTATTGTTTTTAATAAAACTCGAAGATGGACTATTTCTTTTTATTGCATATGCTTACTGCCTATTGCAAGGAATGGTGGATGACTTAAGGTCTATTAAAACTAAAGATAAAGATGAACAAGTGCTGGCAGAACAAATTGCACTGGCGTTTTCTGAATTCAAATTTTTGTTATTCCCGTACATTGCGATTTATATTAAGAACTGCATGGAGAAGGACAAGGAGCGAGGCTGTGCGTATGCTCAACTCTTTGGAATTATCGTATTGGCTTATGACGTGTTATCTTATTTTAATGTACTCAATATACAAAACATATTGCAATAACTGTAAATACCTACATTCATTGTTCATATGATTTAATATCTAAATAATTAATTTTTAATTTTTTTAAGGCTAGTGCAAATATTTCAACTTGCGCTTTATACGTAGTACTTTACGTATTTATACATTCTTCTTTGGCGGTGAAATGGTTTACACTTAATGTCTAGTGCAAAGTAAAAATGTAAGTATTATATCTGAATATTTGAAAAAGTACAATTGCATTTTTACTAATAGTTTGCAAATTCTACAATTAAAGCGTTAAGAATAATTGGTGACAAGCCTAATTAGATGTTTTACCATTTGCTTAAAACGTACAACCAGCATGAAGAAAATCATTGCACGACGAAAAAAATTTCTACATATTTGCGCACTACTTCTAAAATTCCCAACGAGAAGTTAAAATTACTGCTGATAAGATGTCTGGGTGAAAGTATGGTACAACAATGTGAGCCGCATAATAAAAACATTAACATTGTGTTGACGAAAACACCCTAAGTACCAAGAATATGTTGTAGTGGAAATATGGTACTATCATGTGGTTCAAAATAAGAACATTAATGTTGTGTTGACGAAAACACCCGAAGTACCAAGTATATGATGTGGTGAAAATATGATACACTCATGTGAGCCAAAATTAGAATATTAACATTATGTTGATGAAAAAACCCGAAGTAGTAAGAATGTGAGGTGGGAGAAATATGGTGCCATCATGTGAGCCAAAATAAGAACATTAACATTGTGTTAACCGGTAAACCTTGAGGATTAAGAATATAGCATAATAAAAGCTTGATACCATTCAGCCTTATCTATGAGCAAGTCTATGATAATTTATTAAACAGTTGCAAAACATTACTTCATTTATTGTAAGCTGAAACCGATGTTAAAATTCTGTAAAATACCTTTAATAAGTCTGTTATACAATCAAACAGCAATGTAACCAAAATTATGGTGTTTTTTCAGTTTTGATGTTTTTTTTTGAAAACCAAAATAGCAAAACGTAAATCTTTTTTACATTAAATTAAATTAAGAACATCAACAATAGGTAAAGCGATTTGCAATACACAGGAAGGATTTACGATATTATGACTATGGTAATATATACATAAACATAACATATCGGAAAATGCGTGTACAATAGTAATTGTTCAAATAAGAATCTATGAAACATTGATAAACATTTTTAAATAGTTAAACAGTAAGTAGATAAATCAAATTTGAATATTTATATATATAAATGTACTCCTTCATATTACAGCACCCAACTTGTGAAGAAGATAATTAAAAGGAAACATGCTGTATGCTGTATTTCACGTCTGCTCGTGATTATAGACTCATATATTTGCATATTGGGATATTTAGAATTGCTAGGATAACTTAAATATTAATAATATTGCCTATCACTGCATATAACGGTCAGATATCGGTTCATGGATATCAGGGCTATTAGTAATGAGTGGCGAGTCCTTCAAAAATTGGAGAATGAAGTTTTTCACTCGTAATAATTTAGACACATACATTAAGTGCATGATGTACAACTATACCATGCCACAGTAGTTTCCGAACTATAAAACCTATTGAAACTAATATTAATTTGGTTACTTAAGAAGCGTTGGTAAAGCGCAAATATTTACGTGAATTCGATGACAGATGTCTGGGTGTCAAATATAATCATAATAAATTACTGTACGTTTACGTATGTTTATGGTAATGTAGCGTATATAGCATATAAATGTATCAAAATTTTAAGTTATATTATATTTTTTATTTTAATAATATTCAAAAACAAAACATAATACTCAATAAAAAGAAAAAAACAACAAAACGCATAAATAATTTATGTATATGTAAGCGGTAATAATATCATTTAGACATTATAGTATTTAAAGTTATTTTAACCCAATTATGCGAAGAAAATTGTGATCAAATTAAGTTGAAGTTTTTTTTAATTTTAGCTCACTCTAAGGTTTGTTTCTTCGCAGGCACGACAAAGCAAAAAAAATACGTGTTGCATTTAACGATAAAATAACTAATTAAATATATGGATCCAGCCAATTTAATTCTTTAATTTAATATGTCTTTTAGTAGGATGAGGAAATGTTTTACGTGACGTTAAACTACATTATCAAGTTAATGATCGACAAATTTCTTTTTCTCTTATTCTCTAGTAAGTATTAGTAATCCCCAATTAGGACCAATTGTGGGCATATTAATGCCGAATTGAAAAATTTCATTACAATTACTATATTATTAAAATTTACTAAGCATTTGGGCAATCATTTACTATTTTTGTGGTAATCGTGGCTAATTCTAGGGTCCTAAGCGCGGCATAACAGTCTGATTGCATTCACCATTTTATATATAATTAAGAGTACTTCAGAAATTTAAACGTGTACGTTTTATATAAAATATAATTCATGCTTTCTAATAGGCCTTAATACAATGACCAGTTTTATATGCCAGTTGGTATGGCGGGGCTTTACCGAACACTCTTACAACATTTGTACATATCCCAATTATTTAAAATAACATCACAAAGTCAAACTAAATATTAATGTATTTTTGCTAAAAGAGTGTTTATTGGACTATGATGAGAAGCATACGTATATATACATATATATTCTTGTTTTAACAGTTTAGGCATGCAAAATAGTTTTAAGACAGGATATATGTTTGTGTATACTTGCATATTCTCATAGAGTACTACATAAACAATAAAAATTTTATTTACAAGATAATAAGACCTTAAAAACGTGGAAGGAGTTTGCCTGATGCATGAACAAAGGAAGCACCTTAGTGTTATATAACATCTTATTCCGGATGATGAAATAAAATATGACTTGAAGAAAATTCCATTAAGGGCACAAAAGATCTCCAGGCAGTGCAACGCGCCCAATATAATAATACATAGTATAATAGTATGCTATTTAAATTATTGCTTGCATCATTCTGTGTGATATTTTATTATATAAGAGGAACTCGGATCAAACGTGATGTAAAATTTAACCAGAAATATCGAGTTCGGTCTGAATACGTTTAATATAATTAGTTATAGTATTATTTAAAAGAACCTGTTACAATATAAGTATTGGTTATTGTGCTACCCTATGCTCTACTAGGAAAGGAGTAAATATTATACTGCCATATAAAAACCAAAGGCCAAAACTATTTTAATTTTTAACAAAAACAGATGATCTTTTAGTTAAATTCTTGCAGAGGACTTAGATATATAGAAAGTAAGTCCCTAGCTTGTTTCCGTTCCTTTCCTTTTGGGGTCAAAATTTCCTTTCTAAATAGATCTAATTTTTAATGGTTTTTATGAATAGTTCAATGCAAGAAAATTTCAACAATTATTTCTATGAGATTACCGGTGTGTTTTGATATGTTTTCAAAGCACCTTATCTGGCTAATTCAACTGGTTTGTAATTACCTATTGTATCTCCGTGGTTGGAAAAGAAGAAAAATTGTTGAAAAAAATTTTATAATTTAGAGATTTGGACTGAACTCAGTTTGCCTGTTCCTATTTAATATATTATCGACTTCAATAACTTTTGCATGGAACGAGTCAGTATATATATACTATACACTATATGTACAGTGTACATATATAAGTCAGTGTTTAAATTACATTTTGAAGAACCCCTTAAAGTCCTTATAAAAAACAATGTATGGTATATCTTTGAACCGCTTGTTAAGAGGCTGTATCAGTTTAGTGAATCTTATCAGTCTGTTTATTATATATGTCATATTGTTTCTCTGCTTTATCATTTAATTTTAATGTAAACGAATAATTAAATAGTTTAAGAAAAATAGATGAAATCAATATCTAAACAAATCACAAATTTAAAGAAATTTAACGATATTTATAGATTTTCTACTGGAAATAAATGGAGAATATACATATAAATATAGGGAAATCATCATTTTTTGTCGATATTTATTTATTTATGCAGTGAAAACAGTTTCAAGCCATTCACGGAACCGACAATTCGATCCGGTTAATAGAAAAGTGAAGACTAGCAACATTAAAAAGATTGGGAGATATGTCAGTTTATAAGAGAGCTTTCATTATCAGTGTTTTTACTGATATTTGGAGTTTATATATATAACATAATGGTAGTACATTCCATTTTGTTTTATGTTTTGATTTTGAAATTTATTTACAGATTATTTTTTTTTCGTTGTTTATCAAATAAAACAATAAATATTGACAATATAAAAATATCGCTTAAACAATAAACATATTCTTTATTCATCTAAAGTGTCCAACTTAATGTTTGCCTCTTTTAACTTTTCAGGATCTTCAATTTTAAATGGTTTCGGAACACCTTCCTGAGATTCTCGTTTTGGAGTCCTGAACTCAAAACTTGAAAAACTAACATTTATTTTACCAGACGAACGTAAAGCAGCCATTGTATGTGCAACAGGTGTGCCCAAGCGAGTCGGTACAACACTACCCTCACCGCCACGTGATGTTATGGCATTTTTAGTATTTGCTGTGACGGGTGGACGATTCTCAACCTTTTGCTTTTCATGTGTTTCCTTACGTATGCCAACCATCATTGCCTCAGAACAGGCTTTCTCTTGAAATTGTTTAACACGTTCACGCATCGCTGTTTCACGTTGCACTTCCTTACTGATTTCGGCTCGACGTTTAGCTTCATAACGCTCCATTGCCTGCTGATCACGTTCCTTATTCCGTTCAACAATTTGATTAGAGATTTCCAAACGTTTTTTGAATAGCTCCTCTTTTGAGAGCTTCAAAAATAATTCGGGCCATTCACCTCTTTGCTTCTTAATTAGCATGATGCGTGCTTCATTTTTAAAAATGCGACAAAAGCTGGCCAGCTCATCAATTTCTTGAGCCAAGTGACGTTCGAAAAATATGGGAGGATTGTTAAACTTTATATAGGTTGGCAATAGTACGATGTCTGGTTTACGAGTTATGAGACGATTCAACTCGATAACAATTTTAATTTCTTCATCAGTCTGAGTTACTTGCACCATTTCGTATATCGACAGAAGCAACACAACTTCAACGACTTGTTAGAACAACAGCAGATAATGACTGTCGGATGACGAATGTTAAAATGTTGAAAATAATATTTCTTGAATTTTATCGTTTCCTTAGCAGTATCATCAATATTGAAACACTAGTCAATGGTTACTTGAATTGAATATAGTTTACTTCATTCAATTAAAGTTTATGCTCAGTCAGTCTATTTACTTTTTGTTATTGTTTATGCTTGACTGCTGGCCCGTTAGCCGGCGCTCCTTGCAACCAATCTCATATTAGCGTGTTATCGATTAAACAAAAATTTGACAGGACCTAACAAAATCACTATAAATACTTTAAAGGCACTCCGAATTTATTCACTTCTGTGCTCTTGCCATTTTATTTAAAAACAGAAATGAAGCGCCAATCATTACTTATTCAATACCAATACCAATACCACCAATAAAAGAAGTCAACAGTCTATACGTGCTTATTGGCATATTCGGTAGTTGTGGTAACAGATTTGTTGTCCTAAAATGAGCCATAATATTTATCCTTTTTGTGACATTCGTCGATTTTATTGTCTTTATGTTTATACCTTTTAATAGTCATTAATAAGGAGTTTAACCTCTTTCTGGCTTATTAACCTAACCATCTGATTGGTATCCAAAATAAAATTGGTTATAAATATGGCTAAATTTAGAACAAGTTAAAACGAAGAAACTCTAGAGTAATTGAATTAAGATTGGGTTAGGCTATGTGCACGACATTTAACTCAATCGGTTGAAAGACAAAACTTTGTGCATATCATTAAATAAATTACATAAATAGATTAAATAGATTCATTGAAAGATAAATAAAACCTATGATAGGCAACATAGTTCATATATAGGTCTGTATGTGTAGGAAGTTTTTGCCCTTTTTAAAAGGCCCAAGTTCAAAATATTGTAGTAATCATCAAGAAATTAAAATATTGCACTTCACTCTATTGAGGACTTAATATATTGATTCATTATAGTATCTACTATAGTTTTATTCTATCGTATAACATTTATATAAATACCAAAATTTTAGTTAATCCTTAGATTTTTTTTAAAAAACATAATACACATTTCTCTTAGTATTATAACCTGTTTAAATAGTTAAAGTATAATACCAACCGCATATCTGAACATTTATATCTCTTAAACAAATTTGTAGTTACTGTACGAGCATGAATCCTAAGTTGTTTTACGTGGTTATCTGTCGTGTGGACTTGAGAACGGATCGTGATGCTTCGAACACTTGCTCCGTTAAAAATAATTCCGTTGGTACTAATTTAAGATATATATTTTTATATTAAGTGAAAGCATAATAATGCTTTCACCATATTAAGTGAAAGCATAAATGCAAATACTCTTTCTGCAGTATTATTATATAATAGTAATTCTGCATAATTATAGGTGTCAACCACAGCCATCACGACACGCTCTAACAGATTCAACCCAGTACGATGCCTGGTTTACGAGTTAAAGTATAATACCAACCGTTCAATTTACAATTGAAGTTGCCGGCATCTGAATCTCGTAGTACCAGATGTCACCTCTGTTGGGATGTTGCAAGTGAAATACAACTTGTTACTAGTTATACACCAAAATTCCTGAGTTTGATGAGAATATTTTTACTTAAGTTGAGAATATTATAATCCCTACTCGGAAAGAAATATTACTGTAATAGCATGCTGGTGCAGAATTTAACATGAATACGCGCCGTAAACGTTCAACATCTTGGTGTTCTTCATAAACACATTGGTATATTGCGCCGATGAACGTCCCATTGGAGTTCTGAGGAATTCTTCTGGTACCAGTTGAACTTATGTGTCTGGGCTTAACTTCACCCTTGATGAGAAGCAATACCTATCTAACACCTCTGTTGATATTAGGGTCATAGCACCCGGTTGGAAGATGTAACTCCACATCGAATGATTGTAAATGAAGACAATCATTCTACCCGCTTTAGTTTGGGTTTTAACAACAACCATGCTAGTACAGCCGAAGCTGCGGGCTCTGACCCCTTGGTACCAGATTTTCACCACCTCTTTTTCACCACCTCTCTTTCAAAATATTAAAATACCACATATTAATAAAAAGTTGCTAATATGATGTTGTTTCTATTATATTATTGACCTACTTATTGTAGCGTCAGATAAAATTGACAAGTTTTTCAGACTTCATTTGCATTTCTTCACGACGAACTTGTTATACGTCTTATTTATATAGATCATATCGTCCTAAAATTGTCACAAAGTTCACTCCACAATACAGTAATCCTCCCTATAAAGCGATACCCTTATAATGCGTTTTCATATTACACGATTTCAATGCCCCGTATAACAAGGGCATTTCTCTATATAACGAGGGGATGTGTACAGTTCATAATTAGCTTCGCATACGTTTGCACATGTGTATACGGGGTATACGGGGATACGCGTATACGGGAATAACTCGTATACTTTCTTAGTACTCGTTGGCGTTTATTACTGAAATTAACTTGAATATCTCATTTAATAGATTATGACACCAAATCTAACTTTGACTGCAAACAGTTTTTTTTTTGGTACCTTCATTTCAATATTATTTACTGCAAATAAAAAGACTTTCGTGATTTGTGCTCACTTACATAGTTAGTGAAATCAATGTATTTTGCTTAAAATAGTATTTGCATTTGATCTAAGTCTTATTCTTTTTTATTCCGTTCATTTGATTGGTATTGATTTCTATCTAAAAATACAGTTCATTAACCCAATAATAACTTCAAAATCACAGTCATACGTAAACAACATCAGCAGAAAACCAAAATAAAAGATATTTTCAAAGAACCACATTTTGAAGGGAAAGCCCTATGCAATTTTCAAAGAGGATTAGAGCTTTTGTCAGCATTTAGCAAGGAACCTGTTGTAAATGGGGCACGCCTTATCGCAATCAAATCAAATCCAATTTGGAAAGTGAAAAATGCAGTAATCATCGATGCACGATATTTCAAGGTGTGAACGACATTTATAAAACAGTTTCTATAATAAATAAAAGGGTCGGATAGGTCATTTAGTAACTACATAAACAGAAAGTTATATATACATTTGTAGGTCAAGAAAACACTCTTGTAAAAGTTTTATCAAACTTAAAAAATGTTCGAAGTAATGATAAAAAATAAGATATCATAAAAATTATTCCTTTAATATGGATGCTAGTTATAAGACTTTTCACTGAATGTACTATTTCTTAAACGAAAACGGTATTTATTATTTGGATACAATGTACATGGATCAATGATAGGTACGTAATAGTTCAGTTTATTAAATTAAATAAGTCCGTTCATCAACGCGTAACATATATATACAGGGTGGCTGACGAAAATGACAAACTTCTCATAACTTCTCACCGATCTAGTTGTCAAACCAATAATGACAGAGAGCCCAAAATTAATTCATTTAACAGTTTATTGTCTTGTTTAAAAGTGTACGAAGGCATTTTGATTTTGTAGAAAAGAAGTTGTATGTGATTTGCTTAATATTTGGCTAGAAAAACACAAGTCGCTATCGGTCGAGCCTACTAATACCTAAATGTGAAGAAATCATTTGTGCCTCGTACAATAACTCGATATCTTGATAATGATAGCGTTGCCCGACGTCATGAGCGTACATGAGTAAACCAAGAAAAACAGTAACAACAGCAGAAATGGTTCGTAAAGCGAAGAAGCGAATTGGACATTCCAACAGGATTCAAAATTATCACACAAAGCACGCATCATCCAAGAATATCTGAAAAACAACGTTCCGTGCTTTATCCCATTAACACAGTGGCCACTGAGTAATCCTAATATAAACCCTTTAGATATCTCGGTATGGGATATTTAAAAAAGTAAGGTTGGTATTAAAAAATTATAAAATGTCGATCGTCTGAAGCAAGCGCTAAGCCGAGAAAGTCATTTGCTGGCAGCGTACGATAGCTTTATTGGCCGCTTGAAGTTCATAATTCATGCTAGAGGTGACTATATTGAATCAAAATAAATTAACTTTAAAACTTAAAGTTCTTTTTACATATTTCCATTTATCTCTCATTGAATTTATCAAAAAAAAAAAAACAAAATAGAGTGTTTTACTTTGTTGTAATTTTCGTCAGTCACCCTGTATTTGAATCCAAAATATTTCCCTATTTTGATACAATGCAATATACAATATACCATAAAAAATTCTTGTTAATATATATTTTGTGCCACTTTTTATGCCCCACGTTATCATTGCTGCTTCCTACTGATGTGCGCGGTCTATTTAAAACGCAGTATGCTTTCTGTGACAAGATTAGATTGGATGAAAATGTATATAGTGTACCTTTCAGATTTCAAACAACTGACATGATAGTCTTTTTTGACTGAAATTTTGGACTTTGAAATTATAGTCTAGATGTGCCGAATAAATAATACTAAGGTCGGGTCATTGAAAGTAGGAAATCAATAACAGAGATGCTGAGAGGATTATTAGTTTTTGGCGGAATTATTTGATAACATGACTGCTTGCTTAAGTAACTCTTATATCAATCGTGGTAGTCCACATATCAGCTGAACTTGTTTTAAAGTATTTATGGAAAATAAATATTTTATGTAACAGATTATAAAAAACTCTAAAGCAGATTGTTAGCCATAATAATATAATAGGTACCGATCATACCATGTTCCTTAGTTGTTTGTGTTTTATTCAGTCTGCGGTAGATCCTGAGACATATTTTGCAACAGGACAAAAAACTGGTGGTGTGTCAGAGGTAGTTATTCAATAAATGGTACTGTATGATCACGAAAAAGTATCTGGACAGATCTTCCTATACCTGGGTGCCGCATTGTCAAAGTTAAATTGTAAAATGTAGTATATTTTCTCCAAATCCTCATTTATCTTTACTTTGCAAATCTTTTACCTCAAGACAATAATGTTAACAAAAAAAAAAAACACTGAACTAAAAAAAACACTGTTATTTTTGTCCAATATATTGGAAAACAACTTTAATTTTGATTATTGGTTATCAGAACCAATATGAATCCTGGATCTTATACAATGACACGCTCAAGGAAAGGTTTTTGAAAACTAATTCGAAGTTGACAGGAATACATTTAATTTGAAACAATCAATTATTGCTAGTATGAATCGAAATATTAATTCAAATTCTCAATTTCGACTAAGTGAGTCGTCGAGTAATATTAGTATGACTTTCTACGTATTACGTTCCTAGACTAGGTTCTATACTCAACTAAGAATAATAAAATCATGCAATGCCTCTACGAAAAAATAGGATATAATACAACATATAATTTAATATAATTTGTTAATAAATTTTCACAGCAAATCAACAAAACTCCAGAATAATGTGCGAACATAAAAGTCAAGTAAGGCTTTGGATCAGTTGTCTAATAAACACTGACTCTGTGCTTTGCATTTTACAGGGTACGAGTTCAACTCTTAGTACTTGCAGTCTCAAAAGATTATTTGCCAATAATTAAATATAAGAAAAATTTCCAAGACCACTGATTATAGATATTTGGCAATTTTGACACAGCTCTAAGATCGCCAAAAATTCAATTAAAAAAAAAATAATAAAAAAATTTTTTGTTGTTGTGATTTCACTACTGTTCGATAAAAACTTTTGTATTGAAAACAATTGTTTATATTAGGAATTTAGTTTCAGTTTAATTATTTCTAGTGTAATATGGCTCGAACCTCAAAACCACTAATTTACACTCAATTATCATTTTAGATGCGTAACAAACTGTTTAAAATAAAAATCGGTCCATTGGGTTTTAAAGACTACTTTGTCTATCAATAGTGAAAAAAAACCTATTGTCAGTAAATAATTTTTTTAAAATTAAATTTAATAACACACTTTTTATATTTTTTACAATCTCTCTAAAATAAGTATGCATGCGGTTAAAAGTACATATTGTAATTTCAATGTTTAAAATATATGTTTATAATGTAATAATAGTTAATGTAACAAACTATATAAAAAAGTAAAATAGATTTTAAGTATTACAATCAATTCTGGAAATCAATATTACAAACAAAACATTCAGACATCGTTGTGTGTAAATAATTATATTATTTACGAAATATCATTAAAAGCAGATAATCGCATTATTTTTAAAAATATTATAAATGGAATTTTTATTTTTAGCTTATCAAAGAATAAGAAATTCGAGTTTCACTTAACAAGCCACCAACTGTCCACCATCTCGTCCATCGTCATCGAACGAAACCCAAGTATTTTGTAAATATTTTCGCATGTCATTATCGGGAGCAGCTAAATCGATTAAAAGATGATCGGTTTTGAGTTCATCGTTATTATGCTGATGAACCTCAGCTCGTGATTCGATTTTGCCATTAACGTTTTGCTCTTTTAGCACTTGTTTTCGGATTGCATTATCTGTTAAGTCAACGCTATTACTTTTCTGATTTTGGATGACTGCGTCTCGCCAATGCTGATATGCATGCTCAAAACAGCGTGCCACCATTAATGTAATCTCATGCGCAACCTTACGTTTTCGACAGTAGAAGACATGGCACGACAATTTCTCTTGTTCGGTTAGAGTATCTTTTTCGGAGCTTACAAAAGAAAATGTATGGTCATGCGCTGCATCCACAGTACAATAGAAAATTTTATAAATCGAAAATCGTAAAAGCGTTTCTTGTGTCTGGAAATCAAGTACTTCAAGCCCATCCTCTGATATATTGAGTTTAACACGTTTTTGGGTTTTATTTTTACGTCCCCCAGCTTTAGAATTTGCTATAACTGTTTTGATCGCTTCAGATGTTAATTTTTCTGATCTCTTCGCATCAATTGGCGTACAACCTAGGTACTTAATATCGTAGGACTCAAATATAGGATCATCATTTAATTCATCATCTGAACTTAGGCAATCTATATCTAATTTCATATTTTCAATATTTGGCTGGTTTGATTGTTTCTTTGAATTGTAATCACTCTCATCAACCACATCATCCGATGTGAACTCTGAAAAAAAAACAAACAAAAAATTTAATATTATTTTACTTATTTATTTACTGTAAGGCTAAAAATGTGTTTAATTGTATATTAACGCTAAAAGTTCTAATATTTATATTTTACTATATAAAAGCTAGATTTATTAAAATAGTAAAAAACTGTTAAAATTTTTAAAATGTTGTATGAGCACATTCATCTACCTCTAGATAATTATGGAATATCTTTCATACACCTCTACAAATTCATCAGTTTCAGAATTGCATTTAATTGTGTGAGAAGAGTACAGTAAAGTCTAGTAGAAAATTTACTGTAAACACTTAGGAATTTATTGGATCTTAAGCCTTAAATAGCATACATACATAGTAAAGTAAGGTTTGGCAATTCATCATGAATCGTTTAACTTTTGAACAAAGCTTCCTAATTTGAAAATTTACTTTGAAAAAAATAAATCTCTTCGTGAAGTTCATAGAATGCATAGTGTTTAGTAATGAAACTCATTTCTGGTTAAATGGCTATTTCAATAAGCAAAATTGTCGTATATGAAGCGAAGATAATCCTCAAGCCGTTAACGAAACACCATTACATCCATTAAAATTGAATGTTTGATGCGGTCTTTATTTCTTCGAAATGAGGAAAGAGCTGCAATTACGATGAATGGCGAGTGCTATCAAGTTATGCTGACTGAATTTTTGTCAGCAAGTTCCAAACATTAATCAGTTTAATATTGACGACGCAAGGCGGCGCAACTTGCCATAGAGTGCGCTTAACAGCGCAATTTGTTGCAAAATCATTTTGATGATAGCTTTATTTTCAGAAGTGGGTCTACTGACTGGTCTCCTATGTCCCTGCGGAGAGGGGATAAGAATACCCCCGCGGTTAGGATTGCCAATCGTAAAAGGCGACTAAGTATCTCCCAGTGCCAGTCTGCCAGTCTCAAATTTCTTTGAGAAGAAAAATGTATTTATATGTCAGTCCAACCTATTTTAGCATATCCGTACATCATTTACTTATTTAAATGACATATACATAGATAGTCTTAAATAGATATAGATAGTTTTCTAAAACCACTTCACTATTTTACTAATAAGTTAAACAAAATGCTTTATATAATTGGGTATGAAAGCAAACTGTGAAGTATACAATAGATAATCAATAACTAAACTAAATCCTCAATTGAAAATAAAATGTCATATCTTGAACCAGTTTACAATGTCATAACGAAAGTAATAGTATTAAAAAACTTTTGTTCTATCCAATTTACGTATCATATATAGGTTAAATAGTGCCCAACGTGAGGGTATTTCTTTAGTTCCACTAAATATGTGAGTAGCAAAAATCCCTGTCAAATGCAAGTACACGGGTGGTATAGACAAGTCGATCTGTTGCAGAAGTTGTACGGAAAGCCAAAGCTTGATTGAAATCCGAACCGAAGTGAAAAAGAAAAAAGTTAATTATATTGAAAACAACCAAGCGCCGAATACTTAAAATATGGGCAAATTTAGACTTTACATTTTCAAAAAAAACACTAAACTTCACAAACAATTAAGCACGATATCAACTTCTTTAAAGACAAAATACCCAAAGTGATCAATTTATGATCAAACAAAATGATAACATATAGTAAATGCAATAGGCCCATGTTATGTAGAGTATCACGGACATGCCAAATTCGAAATTGTTGTTGTTGTTTCAATGCAAACTAAAAAAATTGAGAGTAAAAGGAAAAAAACAACTGTTGGTTTAATTTCGGTCATGAGAGTCCAGGCTAACTTTGCATCGCCACTCAGTCAAAGCCGTGTTGTATGTTTGGCACAACCAAAAAGTACAAAAGTTATATAGTAGTAAAAATGCAAAATTGACAAACTGATATGACACTCTGCATAATGTGCATTCTCGTCATAGCCGGAAAGACCCAATTTTGATATACCCATGACACTCTACACAACATGGGTCTTAGGAAAATTGACGCACTGTTTATCAATGACTATGAAACAAGGTAAAAAATTTTATTTTAACCATAAGTACCCAGCTGGTCGTACGATACAAACTCATCCAACTTCTTGCTATAGATCAACCAACTTTGGCCTGAATGATTTATTGAAGATTTACTCATAGTTGCAGAGTGCGGCTCATCTGTCAAAAAACGTGTTAAAAATATAATAAAGGTGACCACTTCGAAAATTCGAAATGCATTCGAAAAATATAATATTCGAAAAATATGATATTCGAAAAATATAATATTCGAAAAATATAATATTCGAAAAATATAATATTCGAAAAATATAATATTCGAAAAATATAATATTCTTACTGCAACATTGCTTTCCGTTGGTTGAAAAAAATTCAAATTTAAACAAAACATACATAGCTGTGAAAAGTTGGAGTTTATTTGGACCATCCAGAAAATTGTTCTTTATATATTTTATTTGTTTATGTCTATACATATGTTGTTGTGTTTTCCCAAATATACACCACATATATTTTAGAAATAATGAAGAAATGTAAAAAAAAAATATTTATATCTAATTCATGTTCATATAGAATCAGGTTTATTTTAAAAATTATTATTGTCAAATGTTCCAGTGAAACTGATGACGGCATTTATTTTTATCGCTACAATCGAATGTTAGACAAATATCATCTATTCAAGTTATTAATTTTAACCCAATAAACGATAAATCAAGTTCTCTTAAATGCAGAATGTTTCAGCACAAATTGTTAATGGGAGAGATCGGGATGCTCTCGTATCGAAAAATTCGCAGTTAATCATAGGACGAATTTTAGTTTTTTCTTGCTGCTATAATGATGGTTTAAAGAATTTTTGTAACTATTATTTATTAAAAAAAAAAACAAATAGAAATTTATAGAATATTTATTTTTATATTTTTTTTTTTTATAATTCACAAACAATAAGATTTTATTACTTCTTTGGAATTGCGCAGCAAACATTTGCACTATAGAAATTTTAAACGACATTAATAATTAACAACTTTAGCAAATTACGTAGCTCGTTAGTATTATTAACAAAATTCAAATATTTAGTTTTATGACGTAGGTTTTTTCAAAAAATTTTTTAATCACGAGCACTTTTTGTATACAAAAAATGATACAATGACTAAAGTTAATTTTAATATTAAATATTTGTAATATATCTATTATGTATAGAATAGAATAAGAATAGAATAGAAGAAAATATCTACCATCTAGAGATATCAAGTATTAAACAAAAACCACACACACAACTTAGCGGCAAGTACTGTATACGTATATAATTTTTTCAGTGATTACTTAAACGATAATAACAATATCGGGATATATCTATATCCCATATCTCTAAAACTACACTATGTTCTGAAGTAATAAAAATACAATCAATACAAAATTTGAGATATTAAATTTTAAGAGGAACCACCATCTCATATATCTCCTTGGTTACGCCTATGTGTGTAATAGCACATTCACACTGTCTCAATTAAGACAATTTTGCTCCTTAAGGCTGCTAATGAGGATAATTTACCATACAAAGAGCTTTCATGTAAATTAGCTCATTATAAATTAATCAACTGTTTTAAGACGAAAAATATCGAATGCAATCCTTGAAAATAAATTTACTACAAGAAAAATTACAAAAAATTTGAAATATTTGTTAAATATGTATTTTATATGTAAAATGTAAATAAACAAAAGTTAAGCTATAAACAAACGTACTGAGAAAGTAAGTATTTAATAAAATCTTTGCTTTTAATAATTGAATATGTTATAAATATTTAATAGGACGAGAATCGCTGGTCATAAACACGACATAAAGAGCAAATCAACTCCCAATGACCAAAACACAGCATTAGCAACCCATTGCTCTATGATGAACCATACTCTAAATTTTGAAATAGTACAGCTCATCAACAAAGAGCCAAATTATAGACGTAGACTAATGCTGGAAATATTACACATTATTTAAGTTCCGGAAAATCTTGCACAAAATCTTTACAGGTCTTTGATCAACCATAGAAAAATTTAATATATAATTAATAAATTTAAAATCATAATTTATCCTCCACTGTTTGTTCATTCAAAAATTTTTCTTATTTTTTTTATTTTAATTTCAAATTTTATAATAAATTATAGATAGCACAAAACCTGGCTTTAAGAAAACTAATTACGATTCTTTGGTATATTAGCACAACAGCCATGCATACAGATCTAAGGATCGACTCAGTGAAAAAATATGTTGAGGAAATAAACAATAATAATTCTAGTATAGTTAAAGCTTAGTTTAACATTTTAAAATTTATATATACAAAACATATGTACGTTTATCAGTATATAAATATTTTTTATATAATAAATAATTTTTAAATAATATATATATAAAAAATATTTATATAAGACTTAGTAAAAAATTAATATATGTGTTTTCATTTAAAAAATATCAAACTACTAAATAGTATTAAATTAAGTTTTAATTAAGTAGTTTCTAATAATTTATTGGCGGGCTAATTGGTCATTTAAATATAAATAAAAAAACTATAATTTATTATTTATTTATTTAATTTGTTTATAAAAACAATTTATATTCTTATATTTTCAGTATTTTCAGATAAATAAAAAAGTATAATGGTGTATATATAGTCCTTCGGTCCGTTTTATGAAGGCTGTGGTTTTTAAGACCTCTCTGACTATGTACCTAATATAATATAAATATATATAAACATATAAAAAGAAATATTACATGTTTAATATCTTACAATAATTTTATTGTTGTAAAATAATAAAAGTAATCACATCACAGAAATAACTTTAATAAAAATAATTAAAAATATATGACTATTTCATGATATTAGGTCTCTATATGTTTGCACGTCTTTGTCAAAATTTTTCTTGTTTCATTCTTGAGCAATATATTTTATATATTTTGAGTAAATTTATTTTATACATATATGTATTTGTTAATACATACAGAAAAATATGAAGTTTTTTATAAAAATCAATTTTCTTATAGTTTGTTAATA